TTTGTTTTGTGTGTGTGTGTGTGTGTGTGTGTGTGTGTGTGTGTATGTGTACCGGTGATCGAACTCAGTCACCACTGAGCTAAATCCCCAGCCCTGTTCATTTGTTTTGTTTTGTTCTCCATGTTTCTGAATCTTGGTGGTGCTTTGCCTGAGGATATTATGCAACTGCAACAGAGTGTTATCAGTTATAATTTTTGGTATTATTTTAAATGTTTTCTTGGCCACGACCTTCTTATTCATTTGAATTTAGCATCTTTTATGTCAGTAGTTTTTAATTAGGGGTGCCCCCAGATATCTGTATGAAATTTAAAATACATAATTTGTTGGACCTGCTCCAGATTCACTTAATCTCTTTTCTTGATATTCTGTCAATATGCTATATATTCTTCCTATATATTTGATATATTTGTGGCTTAATATGTACATTATGTTTCTGTATTGTTATGTATTATATTTCTAATTTTTCATTTATAAAAGTTGTGTCCATTCTTTTTTGTAAATCAGATGTAATATTCATTGTCTTCATTGGAAATGAGTTAAATTATCCTTATAGATATTTTGTCAAAATGTTGTAACAGGGACAAGCAGAAAAAATGAGCACCAAGACCTGTCATGTAAAGGTACAAGATCCCAACGATGAATGTAACTGTACTGTATACCTAAAATGTACCAATAAACTCAATTTAAAGAAAACGTTGTGAATTGGCTTTATTATTTTTATTGTCGCTAACATATGATATTCTGGCCCATTAATTTGTCCTCTAGGACAAAGAATCGATAGATAATTTATCAGTAGATAAATTAAGAAAAAAGGCACTCTGATTCAAGAAGTAAAACCATATTTACTTTATGGGACTATTGGATTTATTCTTCTCTATCAGCCTCTTAATTCCATCCTTTATTTTTTTTTACTTTATTTCCACACTTGTTTATGTAACGACATTACAGGATACAAGACATTAAACTGTTTTGTGACTCAAATTACACGTTTAAAAAATGGAAAAATATCATTTGTCCTTCTTAAAATTATTGTTAGGATAAAATAGAGGTATATTTTCTTTAAAAAGTTGAGATTATGTGAAAACACAAATGATCATCATTGCTGGTTGGTTTGAGAATATTGTATATGGAAGTCCTTAGAGAAAGTTGAAAAAGCATAGCTATACATTATTAAGAATGCATATTAAATGTTAGTACATCCTAGATCACGGTCAATACTCTGTTCTTATTCATAGTTTACTCTCATAATAAAAAATACTTATTTAGACCCTAAAGGAAGGCTCATGAGAAAATGCGAAAAGGCATTAAATGCTACTAGGCAGAAAAACATAATCTTGTACAAGATTTAATCTACCTACTCATCTCTCAGTATCACAGCATAATATAACTGGAAATTATATTACACATTATCATTCTAGTATAATAGCTTCAATTATGTAAAGGACTGAATTTTTTCTTTTTTCTTTTCCTGTTAAGTTTATTGGTACAGTTAAAGCAAACAATACAGTTACATTTATCAGTGGTACCTTGTACCTTTACATGATATGTCTTGGTTCTTATTTTTTCCCCATGCCCCTGCCTTCGCTTCACCTCCTTCACTGTTCCCTAGTTAAAAAGACTTGTTTCCATTTTTTCCTTTTTCATGCTTTATAAGAGGCCTGGAAAGGAGAAGTCCTGCATGCTGAAGTTCAGAGCATAGCAATAGTTTAGAAAATGGGCTGAATGGTAGCTCTCTCAGGAGATATTTCCACTTCCAAATCCCTGATACCTGTTACTATTACTGTAAATGGCAAAATATTAGATTAAGTTGGGGGTTTTGAGAGGAAGGCTTTATACTGAATTAATTTGGTATGCCCTAAATCCAATGATAAGAGTCCTTATAGGTAGAAGGTAGAAGGAGATTTGGTGGCTGTGCAGGGGAGATGATGTGGAGATGAAACCACAACTGATGAGATTATAAACCCAGGAATGCTAGGACAGCACCCAGAAGTTGAAAAAGATAAGGAACCATTTTTCCTCTAGAGACCCTGGAGTGAGTATGTCCTTGTGAGATTTCAGACATCCAGCCTCTAGAAGGGTGAAAATAAATTTCTGTTGTCTTAAGCTACCGAGTTTGAGGTATTCACAGTAACCTTGGAAAATTAGTACATCTACTTTTGGCTTCACTTTCAGTTTTACATGCTACCCTACCAGAGCCATATTGCCTGGCCTCTCAGGATTTCTTTTGAAATATTCCTGGAATCCTTTGGGATCCCATAACTCTTGAATCCTGTATGTGTAAAATCCAGCACAACATGGATGACAACAAGGTCTACTGTCAGCTCAACCAGTAGCCTGGGCCCTTGGGTAAAGGCTATGAAGCCTCTGAGTGCCTGGGCACTGGCTGGGCATTGTGAAATCAATCTTGGAGAACCAGTTTCCTAGACAACCCTTCTAGAACAGGGTTGCTTGGGTCTCTTCTCAAAGTAAAGTTTTTCAAAGGTGTTCTGTCTTTTGTCCCTTTGAGCCTGAGGAAGTTAGGGTCTACCCAAATCCTCAGATGTCTTCAAGCCTTATTTCCTAATGGAAAGTACTTGGGTTCTTTTTAATGCTAATTTCAGTAACTGTGCTTTCCATGGCCCCACCTTTGCAGGCACTTGCTTTCTTTCTGATAAAATCTCAAACTTTCCACATTTTCTTTTTCTCCTGATTCTTACTATAGATCTGGCTAAAAGCAGCCAGCAGTATCAATGCCACAAGTTAGAACATTGGCCTGCTTTGAAATTTTTTCCGCCAGAATAGTTGGTTCATTGCCCTTAATCTCAGCCCCCTGCAAAATCTCAAGACATGGGTCAAATGAAGGCAAATCTTCTGCCATAATATAATACACTGGCCCCATGCCCAACTGCCAAAGGAGCCCTTGTTTCCACCTGAAACCTTCTAAGCCTGGCCTTTACTGTTTGCATTTCTATGAGGGTCCTAGTCTTCTGAACTCTGAGAAGAATCTCCAATCCAGCTCTCTTTACAGCATTGTAGGGCTGTAGAAAATAGTTTATTTAGTTAGCTTATGAGTGAGTCAGCTAACTATGGGAAGGGCCTTACTTACAGTTTGGTAATCAACCATACCAGTGGGAATTTAAATAATAATAGTGAACTAGCATTTTGGACCAAGAATGAACTTCCTTCAGCAACACGGAATGCAACCTATTCCCTCCTAAAGGGAGATACATCCACTCCCTGCTAAGTTTCTGATTTCTGAGAAAATTATAAAGTGAAATAACCAGTTTTTCCTAATATCCCAGTTTCCTGTAAACCCTACAGGTGAAAGAACTGGGTCAGAAGGGCCTGAGTTCCATCTGGTCAGTTTTTAACTTCATACAGCCACCTGTGATAGGTGGGCACTAAACAAGGAATTCCTATGGCTTGCTTACCTATAAGTCACTCAAGATTGAGAGGCTGAATGGCTACCCCCTGGGAACCCCTCCTGGAAATACAGGAGCTGTTCTTCGTATTATTACCAAGAAGAACTCTCCTAACCTCCCTTTGGTTTGTGACTTCATTCCTTCACATTTGCAGAGCCACAGGGCTTCTTTAGCCAGTATCTTCAAACATTTTCAAACTCCCACAAACTCTTTCCAAAGGGGAATTGTGCATGAGTTATATGTAGATGCTACGTCATTTGATATAAGGAGTAGTTTTAGAATCCACAGATCTTTATATTTTAGGGGCCCTGAGATCAATAGTCTGCAGATACCCAGGAATAACTATACATAAATTTAGAGCTGGCGTTTTCATTATAAGTTGTGTTGGTAGGACAGGGCATAGAGTTTAACACTGCAGTACAGCGTATTTATGTAACAGTTCTTCATTTATTGTGACCCCTTTCTTCCCTTGCTATTGGATTCTTTCACCTTTCTGTTTCCTTCCTCCCATTTTAGTTGTATACTTCCCACTAGGATCAACATAAAGAGTTTTTCTGTAAAACTAAAGATACTTAATGAAAATAATAGTTTTAAGGAAAGATTACGTCCTTATCATTTTATATGAAAATAAATACTTTATATTATAAATAGTGGGTTGTTTTAAAGTTTATCTTCATTTGACAAAATTAGAAATTGGAAATGTTGGGATTTCCTCTGATTTTTTATTTATTTTTTTTTACCGGGAATCAAATTTAGGATTTGCGCCTGACAGGCAGGTGCACCACCACTGGGATACATCCCCGGCCCCAACTCCTCTATTTTAAAAAATTATTCTTCCAAGATTGGAACTGTTTGTTTAGAATATAGAGAAAAGAAGAATAGAAAGAGTGAAGAACAGTATATGACGCCTAGTAAGTTGATTTAAGTCGAACAAGTTAACTTTCATATTTTCAACTGGGGAATGTGGGTTTGCAGGGAGTAATAGTGGGAATGCCTAAGTCTCCTTGGGAGTCAGGGAAGGTTTCACCTAGGAGGGAGCTTTTGATCTGGTGCTTCAAGGATTAGCAGGAAAGAAATGACAAAGCATTCCAAACAGAGTGCATAATGTTAAAGCTAGTGAAAACACAGAGCACAAAAGATCACTGCATTTCCCGCAGTTCCGAGTAGCCTGGTTGCTGGAGAGTAGCATTCTCGAAATGAAGTGATTGAGGGTGAGGTAGGGACTTTTTCTTTTTTTCTACTTGGTTCGGTTTCTCCTTCAGTTCATTGCACAGTGCTGGGTACACATGCTGCAGGGGCTCAATAAATACTTGTTGAATTCAGACAGGGTGATGGAGTGTGCTGGGAACAAGTCCATCTGGATTCTTTCTCGCGCATCCTCAGTGTATCTTGGCCGATTCTCTGTTCTCCGAAATGTGGTTGCTGTTTAGTAACCAGGTGCGAGCAGGAAAGCAGAGAAGTTGTTTTGAGGTGTCAGCCTTTACAAGAGAATCCCTGATTCGACTAGAAGAAGGTGGGGCGGGCCCCGTGGGACTGCAGCCTCAGTTCCTCCTCCGCTCCAGCAGGGGGCAGGCGGAGGGGCTCCGTTCTGCCCTTGGCCGGGCGGCTGCAGCGAGGGCTGCAGAGGCCAGTGAGGCGTGGACTCGATGACCGGAGGGCCGCTGTGCCCTCAAGCAGCCTCTTCGCACGACCCTGCACTCCCTGCCTGAACGCCCTGGGCAACAGTGGGCCGCGACACTTAGGGCTCTAGTAAGCTGCGGCGGGCTCACCCCCCAAGCGGAGGCGCTATCGAACAGGTTAGATTGGGGGCAGGGACGGCCGCGGGAGCAGCCCAAGGCCAGAGAAAGAGCCCGAGTCAGGCCATCTCCAACTATGTCCGACGAGGCGTCGGCCACCACTTCCTATGAGAAGTTTCTAACCCCTGAAGAACCTTTCCCACTCCTGGGACCCCCTCGCGGAGTGGGCACCTGCCCCAGCGAGGAGCCGGGCTGCCTGGACATCAGCGATTTCGGCTGCCAGCTCTCCTCCTGTCATCGCACCGACCCCCTCCACCGCTTCCATACCAACAGGTCTGTACCGCCGTGGAGGACAGGGGTGGACTGTAC